ATTGTTGATTGACAATATACATTTTATATATACTTTACATTATCTCACGTTTCTGTAATAATAAACTATGCATGTCACAGATTTTACAGTACATTTGGGACAACATTGTTAGCAGTAACACCTAACTTCATGGTACAGTAAACCAACCATGATTTCCCTGATGAAGATGACTGACGGTCGTCGAAACGTCGGTTCTTGGTAAAATAAGTGGTTGTGAATAAAGAACTTTGCTATTCCTTGCTTGCAATTGTTATGCTGTTGCCTTTCCGGTTAGAATATTTCGGTATTCCGTAGATGTCGTGAAGAAACAATATCTCGAAGGCCTCTCGTTGTGGGCTGTAAAGCATGCGGGACCCCTGACCTGAAACGAGCGGCTGCAATGATAGCATCAGCACGACGGTTAGGGCAGCCTGTGCGACTGGCCCAATAGATATTACAGCACGATTCGCTGAACACAGCTCCAACATCAATGCCCACTAATATGAAAACCGTTATTTGTTACTTGGATCCTCTGTTCAAGGACTTGAAAAGTTTTCCATTACGAATCCTTCTGGGGTGGTAAGGGGTTTCTAAACACGTAGTACAATTTATCAGTGCTTCGTGTTTATCAAAACCATGTTTTTTGCGTTCACATGGCTGGACAAAATGATGACAAAGCATGTGCACTTCATGGCAAGAAAAACTAGGCTTTACAGACCATTTGCTTTCGCGAAAGTGGCCGTCTTTGAAGCTATTTTTCGTCACCTTACGGTTGCATCCCACAGTGAAACATCGTTACCTGTATTCTCATGGGACATAAACCTGAAATGAAATCATCTCACATCCAACAAGAAAACCATCTTTGACGACCTTGCTAGATCTCGGTACCTGGGGCAAGAAGAAAAAAACGACCGGCCAGATTGAAGATAACGACGGCCAACATTCCATCTTTAACGAGAACCGATAGATCTTTTTTTGCAATGGCAATCCTGTGGCGTTTCTCTGTTCGTGCGCTTGATTTGACAGAGATAGATTTCTCGCCGTGCTAGCCCTGAGTCGTGTTACCAGTCAGGACAGATATCGATTTATTCTACTCAAACTTTTAGACTTTGTTTCTCTCTCCACCTACTCCGAACAATAACTTTTTACACAGACAGTTCGTCCCCCCACTCGCCTGGATATTACTGCCCCAGTATTGTATCGTGCGTATGCAGCTGGCTTGAACGGAAAATGAACTGTACAGTTCCTAGAATAAAACCACCCAATAAAAGACAATCCACCCTCTACAGTTATTAGAAAACAATCGTGATGCGTGATTTTATTCCATGTAGTAAAACCTCTTAATAAACCGTTCGGATCAAATGCGTGTCCCACTTTAACAACGAGCCATTATTTTACCATATATAAAGTGTTTTACCGTATGTTATATTTATCAGGGATATGTACAGTTAACAAACTACTTGGGAGCACCATAAAAAAGCTGCAGTGGCCTGTAATGGTACCATTTTTCTTGATAACGCATGTGCTTGAGAGCCGTCTTTGTCATTAAACGTTCCCGAACGGCCCAAGTCGTTAGTGGGAAAGGTTTTTCTGCTGCCTTCTCAGATATTGAATTGCATACCGTAGGCGGTTCGCCTGACACAACGGATACCTTATCCTGTAACTCTAACACACTTTTCCTACGTACATGTACAGTTGTTGTTGGTCTTAACAAATATTTGTAACAGTTGAAGTTGGTCATGTATACCAGACAAACTACTTGGGAATAATTAAAAAAACGTACTTACTTATACTTGTAATTCTTAATCGTTGTGGTGAAGCCAGTATTAAGTGCAATATTGTATTTTCTGTATTTTCTTAATGTTTCTGTATTTTAACTTTATAATATACAATAGTGTATAATCTTGGTTTTTTTTAAAGAAATGTACATTGCTTCGCAATTCGGGGACTTGTAGTTTATTGCAAATGATCAATAAATAACTCTTGAGCCTTGAGTTGTTGTTGTTACTTCAACGACTATTCAGAAAGCTTTAAATTAACCACGTCAATCTTACACCCAGGCATTACTTCTCGAAATATGGTAGCCAAGTAGAACTTTGTGAACCTGTTCGCAGTCCCCAGGTTATTCTCAATACATGAAACTTTTACCACGTCATTATACACAGCTATTAGTAACATTTTGACCCAACAGTTCAGCTGAAGGCACGTACGCTTTTACAGCGTTATCTGCAGAACGATTCTATCCATATTTAATTTTTATCTTTGCCCTACGGATGTAAGATTTCTGCTTCAATTTCCCCGAGACCCTGCGATAGGAAATGTAATTTTCTCCTGATGAAATTCAAAACTTTTGCGTTCAATGTAGGAATGGATGTCAAAGGGAATGATTTAGTACTCATAAGTGATAAAAGATGTACAACGGCAACAAGGGAAATTTATTTCTTACTGCAAAGGGATATTGAGGAAAACCAAAGCCTATTAATAGCATTAAAGTAAAAAGCAATTCGATCCCACTCATGTCCCACTGTGATCTTCACAGAAACGGAATTAATCATCGTAGAAAAGGAAAAGATTAGTGAAAAATTGCAGATGGAGTGTGGTGGTAGGTTCGTGATTAAAAACATTTTAGAAGTATCAAAATGGTAAATGCAAGCATACACCCGGGCCCTATCCAATAACTTTATACTTAATGATCAGACGCTAGACGCCACCCTTTGTACATAAAACATCCCAGCAGGGCATGCATGTAGTATCCCACGTGGGAATTTCTGGAAAGAACAAACGCCTCAATACCTCTTGAAGCCTTCAGCTTAGAACGCCCAATGCCTACTGCTCGAGTAGGCCAACTAAAGAGGAATAGCTTGTTTTGTCTCAAAATCTAATACATTCTTGTTCGGTTCATCTTAAAACTATACACCCGGGTTATGTGTACAATATCACCCTGTTAATAGCTGTGAAGTATGAATCTTGTGAACCAGCACACAATGGGCTAATTCCCCTGAACTACCGTTCTGCAATACAGGCGCAGGTGCTCTTATAGATAACGAGGCTCTCTAATTGGCACTCTCCAATTCAGAGAATGCCGGTTTCCGCTTGGGCGACTTGCGACCTTTCTTCACGCCTGAGGTGTAATCTAACGAAGACTGGCGAGCGTTCGCCGGTAATTTCCAAGCAGCTCATTCAGCCCCGTCGATCCCCTAAGGAACAATTACGGTAGCTGCCGTGCATACATAATAAGGTACAAACAAAACTACATAAACTATGTCTACCTGATGAAGGTAGAAAAAATGTCAAAATTTTATGATTTTTTTAACGGCTCTCAGGGGCAACTATGCAGATGTTGTCACATCGGAGCACCAAATCCGCCGCACAAATTAGCCTAATTAGGGCACAACGTCGGGCCACGGTGAGTATCGAACCCGGGACCTATCGGTTCCGAGTCCAACGCTCTAACCGTTGCGCCACCGACGCCACTAGAAATAACAAGAATTGTCCAAAAACTGAAAATAATTCTTTCATCAATTTTGATTTGTATCCACATTACTTTTTGTTGCTTTTCCTTAAAAGTGTGTGGCACAATTGACACGAACGTCGATGTATAGGCAGTGTTAGATAAAAGAAATACCCGAGGAAAGTTTAATTTGATTAATGGCACTAGTAAAAAAAAAAACTTGAAGAACCTATCTCTTTGGGTCAGTGTAAATGTGACAATGTACGCCTAAGTGTATCCGATCTAATTCACATTGGATACGTATTATGTAGACCTGGGGGTCGTTAAGCGTAGCGCTAATATCTACACCATCAGGCGTCTCCAGTGATGACAGTTAGTATCCTGTTGCTTTACGAATTCCCATCTTTCCTGATCTTCTTTCGTTTAAGGTAAATGGAAAATCCCTGCACATAAGTTTGCTTCAAAAGTATAACAGCTTAAGTTGAATAAAAGTTAAAATTGTTCTTTCATGTGCCGGCTTATCGGATACGTCGCTAAGTACTGCCAAATTCACAATACCAGCAATTCCTGTGGTTAAGTAGCATTTTGATTTTTGGCCGGATTTTTTTTATTCGCCCGCGCTCACTAGTTTGAGGATCTTCAGAGGATGTCATCCATAAAATTAAGTCGGTGTGGCCTAATGCAAACAGGACTTCAGCAAAGTTCAGATGTTCTCGATGTTCTGGTTGCAATTATCACATGGGGATTACGATCACTGAAAGTGAACCGTTTCTTTCTAAGTAATAATTAGTCCCAAGGCAACATTTTCGGGGAAGTCTTGTGCAGCCCACCCACCCACGCACACACATGGAAATCTAAAAACATATCTACCAACAAAGTTTTGCGGGTTCAATGTATTTCTATGACATCAAGGGAAAAGTGGCTTCTCTATACATGGAATCCTCCAAGCCTATACCTCGCTCGTACGTACAATAGGCCCTATCAATTTAATGAATTTCCCTTTGGGTCGATTACTGCTTGTTGGAGCAGTGAAGGGTATTGTTCTGTATGCACCATGGAACGTTATCTTCACATAAAAGACTTCGATGAAAGATCAGCCATATGTAAGCTTAGAGTTAGCGCACATACATTAGTAATACAAAAGGGTAGATACAAACAATTATCTGTTAAGGATAGAATATGTAAATATTGTACAAAAAAATGCAGTGGAGGATAAAATGCACTTTATTTGTCACTGCCCTCATTATAGCACCGAAAGAGATAGTTTATTTGAAATGGTCACCAAAATGTTCCCTAGCTTTATTCCCAGCCTACAAAAAACTGAATTTCTATTAACACCTCCCATTTTAAAAAACTCGCAAAATGTCGGACATTTCATACTCCACTGCGCACAGAAAAGAAATCAAACCCGACAATAACATATCAAAAGTAGCACCAGTAGTATCATTCATTATCATTGTTACTGTTTATTATTTTATCATGTTCTTGCAATTAATCTTCGGGCATGGATTTTCTATAAATTTTCATTCATTTTCAAAGGGAAAACAATAACTTTTATTTTACTTTTCAGGACCAGTAGAGGCGAATTCTCAGTCGTCCATCGGGCTGACCATCCCAAAGACAGTGTCCACCATCGTGAGCGACCCTGCAACTCTACCTGCCACCTTCAGAACTGGCCACCGTCTTCTGTCCATCGTCTGGTACAAACTAGACTCAACGGACAAGTCCAAAAGGACGCTGGTCTACTCCTACTACCCGGCGGCCGGTACCAGGGAGGCGCACGGTGACTTCAACGGCAGAGCCAGTCTAGCAGGCAAGGCCTCCCTCCGGATCGACAGGACAACCGAAAAGGATGACGGGACATACGTGCTCGCCATCATGGTGGAAGGAGTTGGGAACGAGGAGGGCTTCGTTAAGCTTTCCATCCTGGGTACGTGAAGCTATATACAGATATGTACGATAGGTATAACGTTGAAACTTTGTTCCAACAAAAAAGTCACTCACCATAAATATTCGGTAAAATAAATTGAGAGTCAGCGAATGCATCATACATCTGACAAAGTTTGAGATCGACCATTTATGGTGGTAAATGTGTAGGGTTACCAGCCGGAGCTTCTATTGCGTGCGATCTACGTTTCATCAGAAAATACCCCCCCCCCCACCACACACACAAAAAGACACGACCGATCCGGGAACGCCTGAAAAGGAGGCTAAGATTGAACTCTATAACGTTGGATTCTACCAACACAGATGAGCTTTCATTCCAAGATATGTATGATGTATGATCCCTATTACCTTGTTATCAACTTGATTACAGTAAGATGGAATTAGGAATAATTGTCCCTGAAACTGAACCCCACACAATAATTACACAATCAGGGGGAGGTTTGGGAACACTTTTCATCAATCAAAACCGTTTCTGACGTCAACAAAGTACCTACTAGTACGACTATTGGACTATTTAGTTGACTAGATGATGATCCTTGAAAAGAACATCACTAAGTCCTAGCTGGAGTTCTCTGAAAATTTGCCATCAATAAAATTGTTTCTGGTCGTAAAAGTTCCTCTTCTGTATTGAAACGTATAATCAAGAAATTCTTTATCCTTCTACACTACAGGCAATCATAGGGTACTGCAGGTTTAGATGTAAGTCACTACTGTTTCTTGAGCTAAAATGTTACGACATAAGGGATAAATTTCAATAATTTTGCGGTTGATTGAATAATAATCAACTAGTTCTGAATCCCTTTATTGGCAATCGGTGGAAGGTGCTTGATTAGTAAACCATTGCTGCTGGTACAAGCTAGTCTTTATCTTCCCTGTGATCTATTTTATTTCTAAAGAAAAGGATTGAATAATGAAGCTAAATTGCATCAAGACATAACATTAGAGTTGAGACATATATATATGCAGAGAGTTTAAAACAGTATTTTCCAAGATATCAAATAAACATTAAACAGTATTTGTGATAATACCAAAATAAAATGTAGAAAGCTATCAAAAGAGGATTAAAAAAACATATCAAAGCAGTAAAAAAAAACATATCAGCGCAGAGATAGAATTAAGAAAAACAATAGTTTTCATAAAAAATATCACAGTTACTTTAAGCACTCAAGATGTAGTGAATATGCTTGGATCGATGGAAGTTACTAATTAATGCTCAAGTCCGTACCCTGAAATAGAGTCCATTACCGGCCACCAAATTAAACTCAATTCATCAAGTATGTCTAGCACTACATTGCATTTTACACAGTAAAATTGAACATTGAAGTATCCAAATGGGCCAAATACAACTATCCATATACCTTACTCAATGTTTTAGAAGAATGTCTGCTGATCTTTAGTGGATATGAACTAGGAGATACGTCAGTGTCAATTAGTCATAAGACGAAGGGCTGAACTAAGCTAAAAAAGAATCACTTCGGTATCAATTAGTTATAAGTTATATGGCCTTGGTCAGCAAAGGGCTCCGTTACTTACGTCTTAATTCCGGCACTTTTTCTAGATCGATACTCTGTCTCAGACGTTCATCCTAAGACACATTCATTGTCTACGTAGCGTCTTGCCTTATCTTGGGCCATTTTGCAAACATTACAGATGAGATAAACGTTATAAGTTACCTTACCTTACGCGATACTACGCGTACAGACGCTTCTACTGTGTAAGATTAAGATCTGACGGTGTAAGAATGGGCTTTTATGGCCCTACATTAGAGCGGGAAATGGATAGATTTTTATCGTCTGTGTGCTTAAGTACTTAGAGTGTTCATCAACTACATTTGATGGAGGCAGGAAAAAAGGTCAGCCAAAGTTGAACGGCGCACATTTTCTTCTCAACACAAAAACTCAATAATTATTCAAGAACCATTTAAAATCCGGGGTACTTTGTCAGCTAATGTTTGTGATTAATGAAAAGTTGAAGAAATTGTAATTTATTTAGCATTGAAGCAAGAATAAATATATTATCCATGGAGCAAAAAAATATCTATGCCATTATACACTGAACATCTAAACCATGGCGCATAACAATAGATAAGCTTATTGCAAATAACAAAGATAAAAGAATATTGAGAAACGGTACGAAATAACTTGAAAATCTTCATTATAAGACGAGGTAATTGTCTAACACTATAGGTGTGTATAGAAGTATGTCTGAAGGGTTTGACCTCTATTTTGTAAACCATGGAAGACGTAATGTCCCACCTTTTCCAAAATTTGTGAGTTTTGTGTAGAAAAATGACCCTAAAGGTTTACGCCAGGTACATTTATCCATATCCTAAAGGCAAGAAAAGCTATAGACTTTCAACGTTTCCAATATCTATCGAACGCTTTATACGTCAATATATATTTGAACATATTCCCCACCTTTGTGATTCGGCGACTGCATTTTTACTGCTTTTCTGATGAATGACATTCACACGATCAATGTCGGTAAATAATAGCTTTTACAGGCCTTTACTGCTATTCTTACACCACAGACTTAATGAGAATGAGCCATCATTTATATCTCTCATCACGTGCAGACTGATGAATGAATGAATGAAGACCTTTACTGCACTGTATAAACCTTTATAAGACCTTTATAAACCTGTGATGTATTCTAGCATTTTCAACTTTCTCTGGCTTCTTAGTACTTGTATAAATGTATGAGGCTGTATGAGTAGTTACATTTGGTTTATCAAAGGCTAAAAGAAATATAATTTTTTCTTTACTCGTCAAGTATCTGAAGTAGGGAAATTTTTCTTAAAACATGACTGAAAAGTATGCGTCTATCACCGTCATATAAAGGACAATCTACGGTAAAATGGACTTCGTCCTGTACTGTACCTAGACTACAAAATTGGCAGATTCTTTGCTTTACTAAGGCCATATTGATTTCATTATATGGATGACATCCGTGCGTGAATTTTCTGCCATGTCCAAAACAAAAGTTTTCAACCATACTGTAAATAGTACAAAACAGTTACAAAATGAGAAAATATATCCCGCCAGTTGCAAAACAATGTTTGAAAACGATACCAATGCCAAAATCAAATGTAAAAGACGAAAGTATAAAGAAATTAATTCGAAGAGTAGATTACATAATGAAAGCAACTTTTTTTGCCAAACTTTTTTTTCATTTGCACGCTTGCATCAGTTTTGAGGTTCCCAGAGGATGTCATCCATATATTCAAATCAACATGGCCTAATCAGTCGAGCAGATTGTGCACCTAGTGTCTCAGGTTTCACACACGCTATTTTAGGCACGTTAGGAAAGTTAGCACGTATCTTCAATACAGATGACCTTGTTATGATAAAGGCTACAAATAGAATGATGTGAAACCGAAGGTCACATCATGATTGTGATCTATCATAATTATAACCTTATGTATATGCATATGTCTATGTCTATCTACCTGTATCAAATACATCTATCATCTTACATCTATCTGTATTCGTTCACGTATACCTCTATTTCTTTTTACCAATGGATGTTTGTCCACTCTTCTCACAAAAGCTTAATTAAGCGGTTTATAGGTAACAATTTGGTTCCATTGGTTTGGTTTGGTTTCATTTTATTAGCATGAAAGCTAATCTGTGTTGGTAGATTCCATCATGAAGTTTTTATACATCAGATAAACACAGCAAAGACAATCATGAAACTTCATCAGTGTTATTTAGTAGTAACCATTGTAAAATGTTGAACTTTATTCCAACAAAAGGTTTCACAGACGTCAAATATTCAACGACCACTGTCGCCTTCATCAGGATAATTAAAATGACCAATCACTTCAAAATATAATCTCGCGAGAGTTATAGTTACAGACACGTGACCTTATTCATACGAGACTTTACGGATACGTGACATCAGCAATTGATCAAAAGTGACAGGGAGTTTATATCGCCCACCGTCTCTGTTAGGTGAACAAGGACAGCTCACCTCAAATCTTCGGTTGCTCTTCGAGTGATGACTCAATTACTCTGAGCTGATGACCCGTGGACTCGAGTTATGGTTTCATTTTCTTTTAGATTACATTGGTATTGGTTACTAGATTATTTTCGACAAGAGTTGAATACGTATTTGCATTCAACAGTCGCACGAGTTGCACCTTAGTTAAAACTACTATACTATAGGCTGTGGGGTTGACCACAGAACACGAGCCTCCACACAGGATTGATATGAAGAATTTCCGTCGATAACCACCATGTTCACACTACGGCCGATCCCATTTGTTCTGTTCAGCCTGGGCTACCCGAGTTCAACCCGCCCGATCCGTCCTGAGGGCCGTACGATGGCGCCGGTGATCACGGTTGGGCTGTCCAATTAACACCGAGAAAACCTTTTGTTCCCTTCCCTGTCTGCCGTGGATTAAATCAGTTCACAGTCGCCACACACGGTAACAAAGTGCCGGCGAACCCATTCAAGTCGAGGACTCGATAATTACACTTGAGACTCAGACCTGGTGGGAAGCTATAATAGAACGGGAGTAATGCATTCATCAGGCCTGCAGAGATTTCAGTGTGTGTTCGGATTAAATGAGCTTTTAAATTTTTCAATTCAGTTGCCAGAATTTTCTTTTTTTATATTAGAAAGTTTCACCAGCCGTGCAAGCAAAAGAAAAAGCAACAGCCTTTTTTGCATTCTGTATCATTTTGTGTTTCAGTGTCATATTTTGACAGGATAGCTATGAAAAAGCATGTAACTATAGCAAGATTGTGTTCTCGGCAACAAGTATTCCATTTCCTGTCTATTTACAGATCGCGCAACATAAAAATAGGATAGTCGCGACACAACCAGTTTGCATCCATCCATTTTGCAGGTGTAGTGACAGTACACCAAAATATAGTAGGAGCACTCTCACTAGATAGCTATAACCAACACCCAGAGGCAGTGATGCTATGTTTAAGGTGTGACAGGTAGTTTGATGTAATATCAGCAGCCGCCGCCGCCAGCCCGCAAAGCTACACACTGTGCTACGCCGAAGGGCGGTTACGCCGAATATAGATTATAGATACAGAAACAGAAACATGAAAAAAGACTGCTCTTCTGTGAATAGAGGCGTACTGATAGGGTGCAGGTCATCTCGCAATACCTTCAGTGACAGTCAACATAACCCAAGGCTGTAGTATATAACAGTATACAACATCTCCCTTCCTTTCTGCATGTTTGATAATGCAAAATCTTATCTACATACAAGCTCCTTACATAGAATTAAGGGGTTCGTACTAGTAAAAGGAACCTTTGTTACCTGCTGTCACTTCTGCTGAAGTTGTTTCAGTGTCATCTTTTGTTGCACGTTGACAAATGCCAAAATAATCACCTGTAACGAGAGAGTTTACCGATACGAGCGAAGCCGACCGGTTTAACATATGGTTAATCATCGGTTTTCATTACCCAATGATACAATGTCTTCATAAGGCCGAAAGGCATGCCTAGGCATCCGGAAACGTATTTGTGCTTAGTGATCCTGAAAATTGCCAACTACTTCCATGCGGAAATTAATGACTGAATTACTGTTCGGGTATCATTCAGAGCATAAAAGTGGGTAGGTTGTTATAGCGGGTGCAGTGAGTGTTTTTTCACCTACGTGACTTCGTTAGTCGAATCTCAAAGATACAGATTGCATGTCAGGACCAAAACGTGACTTTGAGTCGAATAACGAAACCAGACCACAGATGGAACGTGCCTTTGGGCCGAGTAACGAAGCCAAAACATCAGGTAAAACGTGACACAATACCGCACAACATCCACTCACGTATTAGCCTGGACGCCAGACTGGTGCCAGGGCCAGTATACAGGCTACCTCCTCTGCTCCAGTGCCAACCTGTCCCCAAGGATGTTTTACAATAAACTCCCCTCAGTTATAATTAGGCCCTGGGCCACGGTGCCAGAAGGTTTGCATGCCCTTTTTCGTAAGGCGTAATCAGGCCTTTTCAAACTTCGTATTCCGTAGGCAGCCGTCCAAAATCAACGTAATTCGTAATCAGTACATTAGCCGTAAAGCGTAAGAAGTCGTTTTCATACTACTAGTACGTAAAGCGTACACAGCTAGCTTAATGCAACGTAATCCATAAAAGCAGGAAATGTCGTTTGAGAGATTTAAAATTTCACCGTGAACCATGATCTAACGTAATTTCGTAATCGTAATCACCTCTGAGAATTTAACGTAATTCGTGATCAGCGGCGAAAATCCACCCCCAGGTCCTCGCGAATTATCCCCCGGGAGTCAAATTCCGGGATCGGGGCTTGTGGGCGGAAGAGAGTATGGTCGCCCAGCGGTCTGGTATCCAGGCTACTCACACATTAGCGACCCACGGAACAGTTGCTATTGGTTGAATGTTTGTATCTGTTGCAGTGTAGATGATTTATAGGGGAGGTAGTACCTTTCCGTGTCCTGTCTGCCAGGTGGCGTCAGCTGGGTGATGGATCGTCCCTGAGTTAATGGCGAACAGGACGGTACACGGCCCCCTGTCTGTCCTATATGTGTCGTGATAAATTGGCGTATTGTCAGAAGAATATCCCCAAATAATGCCATCACACTCCGCAGAGTTAAGCAAGGACACAAGAGTTGCGAGACTGACTTAGCAGTTTGGTTAGGTTAAACCTGAAGTATGGGTCAAGTTTAGAATTAAGATCTTAAAATCTATCTAATCTATCAAGGGTGCATTAATTCTTCAAAGAGGTATTTTCACAAAGATCCACCGAATCACTCAATTGAAAATATCTCTAATATATAACATTTTCTACATTGGAATGCAAGTTTGTACATCAATCATAGGGCGACATGCATAGTTTTAGCCATTACAGTTAAAACGTCAATCCATACGCTTATTTAGCCAGATGATTATTCAATTTTGTGGACTAATGAGCAAGATCAACACGTTGTCCTGAACTTAGGGTACGGGCAATAAATCATTCTAAGAGCCACAGTAAAACACAATTATTATGGGTTCACCACACCACTTCGTGGTGTGGTGAAACCATATTGCTTTTTCTGATGTTTCTTCTCCTCCTTCTCCTTCTCCTTCTCCTTCTCCTGCCATTTTTTAAATGGATTCAGCTTCTTCATTTTAGGGCCTAAGGTCCTGAAATTTGGTATGGAGGTACAGTGGGCAAATACCCCTAGGCGTTTTTTAAATTATTGTGATACAGGCTTTTAGAATGGTTTTATTTGAGTTTTTTGGCTGTATTATAGCTAATGTATTACTGTGTTAGTGTGCCATGTTTACCACGTCTGGGCATGAGTCATTACAATGGAATGCAGGGCATCAACCAATAGGCATGCAGCTTTCCTCTATACTTCTTGCTGATTGGCTGTTGGAATTTAACTTGATTAACACCTGCACAGAGTATTTCCATACTGACAGTATGTCTTTATTCAAGTGTTTTGGTAGGTATTTCAAGCTTTTCTGCTCCAGCATTGGAATGCGGGGCATGAACGTTTTTTTTTTTTTATTTTGAAAATCAACAGTTTGCATTATGCAATTAAAAATCCTAACCAATAAAGTAGGGAATAGCTATCCAACTGTTGTTTTAGTTGTATGTTACTTCATATTATAGTTATATCAATGTAAATCATTGTTTTCCCTTGTGTTTCTCATTCTTTCCCTGCCATGTGGTAAAATGTGGTGAACCCATCGCTGTATTTGCTCCAAAGCAAATATTGGCCTTTCTAGTTTTACCATTACGTTTCCATATATCTTAAGTCATTTGATGGTGAAGTCTCTTTCATTTCACCTGCTAAATGTTTCGGCAAATTCGTGTGCCTTTACCAGAGCGTTACTAGTCTGATGTCTAGTCTACCGCGGTTTGGGCGGGCACTCTTCGGGCCTGTAGTGTTTCCTCGCCGCCTACCTCATTTAGGCTCCCCGGTAGGAGTTCTGCCGGAAGGTAATTGGCCCACCTGTGGGTGGCGGCTGGGAACTACTGAAGGCCCGAGGAGAGTCCGCTCAAGACTCGACACCAGTCTAGCGAGTTGTGGGCTCTGCAATGTATACGTCTTGTCGCTAGGCGGCGTTATCCACCCCTCGCTTCTGTGAAGTCTGATCAGAGTGTCTTTATTGTTATCCACAAAAGGAGATTAGCTGTTAGAACTGTTACGTCTTAGAATTGTTGATACTATAAGATGTTAGCAATAGAAACTATGTATATATATATATGTATATGTATATATATATGTATATGTATATGTATATGTATATGCATACTAGTACGTTGCCATGCGTTTTACCTGCTGCAATTGCCTTGCAATAAAGTTCTTCTTCTATCTTGTCTATACCCGACAGTTCCACCTCGTGTGAACGTGGGCCCTTCCAACCCTTACGTCACGGCGTGGGGCCGGTCAGCCACCCTGACCTGTGGGGTACGGGGCGCCAAGCCCAACATCACCTCCCTGCACTGGAAAAAAGACGGCGAGAGGATCGTCAGTCGGCCGCTGGACGCCAAGTACTCGGGCGGGAACATGCAGAAACCCAACCTGCAGATCCGGCACATGACCCGCGCTGACGCCGGCACCTACACCTGCGTGGCGGACCACATGGTCCGGTCTACCAGCGCAAGTCTGGTCGTCGATGTACTCTGTGAGTAGCGGAGGTTGACAATCTTTTAAACTATACTTTAGGCCATGTTGATTTGATTATATGGATGACATCCTCTGAAACCCTAAAAACGATGTGAGCTTGCGAATAAAAAAAAGTTTGGCAAAAAAAAAGTTGCCTTCATTATGAAATAAAGGTGATCATGAAGGTTAAACAAATAACTAAACACACAAGAGTAATATTTTATTGACATGGTGAATAATAGACTCTCCATTTTCATTCCTTCACATTTTCTTCTTGTCCCTTGGGATGGATTTTGGCATTCTGCGACATAAGTATCTTTTTCCAATATATATATTTTTTAATTTGCGCCATGTATTTGCTCATTTCGCAGCTACTTTGTACGATTTACAGTATGGTCGAAAACGTTTTTGGGGAGGGAAACGGACCAAACTTCATGATCGCACAGATGTCATCCATATAATCAAATCAACAAATTTATAATGATACTACAACATGATTTGACATGGAACACTTTTGCTATGCTGAACATGTTTCCCTGCTTCTTATCTTTACAAAACATCCACATCGTCACTGCATAGAAAGGCACTATTTTACACGACCGAGTGTTTTACATGTATTCAGCCGACGTTTCGGTGACTGTCTGTCACCTTGCTTGGGGCAATTCTCACATTGCTGCAGCACAGGTGTCACTGCTTATAGATGCGTTCCTGTACTGTGCAATGTGAACCAATCAGAATTGCCCTGAGGAAGGTGACAGACGGTAACGGAAATGTCGGCTGAATAAGATACTTGGTTGTGTAAAGTTGGTTCTTGTTATTCAGTGCACCAGTGATGCATACCTGATGAAACTATTCACGGAACCACACTGTCAGTTTCTCTCTAGGCCTGGTCGGTGAATAGTTTCATCAGGTTGACAGGTCATAGGTCATAGGTTACAGGTTAACCATTACGCCACACGACGCCATCTTTTTTCTGTGTGTAATATATATATAACTCCAATATGTTTTGATTTATAATAACCTGATGAATCTATCCATGGAGACAGTGATATACTGTAAATTTATCTGTCAAGTTATAAGATACATTATTTAGCCAGAATCTAGTGATGCAAACACCATAGGACAAACACATCAACAAAACTCTAGCTGGAAAATATGTCTACTTCCCTTTACCTCTGGAATGGTCATATGATAGGGGCCGGGTAGGGGGTTGGTTACCTTTGACTCGAAGCTTTCTTTGAAAGGATTTACAATTTGTAAATCCTATCAAAGAAAGCTTCGATTTTCTCAGACCCCATGACTAGATTGGCATCACAACTTAACGCAAATGATCAAGGTTGAAGTTGGAGCGATTCCAACAGGTTTTGCAATATCTACTGAACTTTCTAGTACAAAGATATCGTTACTGTAAACGAGCTATAACAATGGAGAGTAAGCTACAACGTTAACGTACACAACAATGTATGTTCAGAAGACATAAACAATGGAGGTTCTGACCATGATAATGCATCAGATTAAACTGTTTCACAGTGGTATAACCGCTCAACCAGTTTTATAACTGCTCAGTTTAAGAAAGGAAGTTGTTAGGGCTCTGTACAACTGAGCTAACAGACTAATGATAATGAAGATGCTTGAAAAATGCATGAAAACTTACCGACAGTACGGGGGGAGGGCGGTTGTAGATTTGGCGCGACCGATTCAAAAAGGCCTGGAATGGACCATCATACGAACAGATGACGGGGGTGGATGGACTGTTCCAAGGAAGAAACGGGAAGGCTAAGTAAACGCATTTTCTAAGTAAACATTAAATGCTGTATGTCCGTTCTAGCAGGAAACGGTAATCACTTACCGATTCCACGAATCTGAATGATTCTGCATCATCGAGTACCTNACCTCTAGTGCTGATGGACGGTTCCAGTACTTTGTGTTGACACCACCGTGCGAGAACAATGTGCATTGCAGATACACCTTTCAGATTAACCTGTCACGTAAATGAGATGCAATGTTAATCTTTCTTTGTGTCCGCAACTCCTTGCGTGTCTCCTTACCTAAAAAAGAATGGATTACTTAAAGTTAAAGACCTTGTGACTGGTAGAATTCTTTGAGACATTGGGCATAAGCCCATGTGTGTAGTACTATGTACAAGTGACGAGCAATAAAGTTAATTCATTCATTTATGTTCTCTATTAGATCCCGCCTCCATTATCAGTATCTCAGAGTCTGTGACGGCCACGGTGTCAGACAGCGTCACTCTGCAGTGTGTGGCAGACGGCAACCCTCCTCCTAACATCACGTGGACCAAGGACGGCAGCCGCCTCCGCAGCGTACACTCTGCACTTACAGGCGACGTCCGCATGGGGTCGTACTTGATCAAATCGGTGCAGGCAAACGATACCGGGACGTTTCTGTGCACTGCCGAGAACGACATCGGAGAAAGCAGCACCAAATCTCTCAGCTTAACGATCAAACGTGGGTGTCTTTATTTCATACCTCATTCATTATCCCGCGACACACCAGCAAATTACTTGATCGCTGACTGCTATCATGCTCAGAGCACCTGCCAAGCTTGCTGTTAATTCTAGTTTTCTGACGGTTTAGTGAAGCTTTTTCCATTGTCGATCAGTCATCTGGGTTGTCACGCTAACTCCCTGCACCCTCATAGTTCTGACTCTACTTTACAACCGTAGCAGCACTCCTGATATAAATTCTCCTATTATGATCGGGTAAGCAGACCGTGACTATTTATTAAAGACAGGGCGTGGAAAATCAGTCTTCGTGTGAAATTCATTATGACAAACTCACGGCCTGCCAACTCTAAGATATTTAGGATTGTAAATTACAGGAAAAGTTAAGTCTGGTCGTAAAGTTACCCATAAAACTGTTTCTCCAATCGTTCACCTTGAAAAGTTGCCTGGTTCATTAAGCATGTGTGTAAATGTGAAACACGCAAACTTCAGTTTACAAGAGCTAAACTAAGCTAGGTTTAAATTAGAAAGTGATAAAAAATTAAAATATACGTTATATAATATTCCCAATTTACACCTTCATTATCCATATATAGGTTGTATTACTCGTTGGTTAATGTAGTGTGAAATTCCATCAATGTTTCACTCGCACGAAAGTACATGATGTAAGATTATCAAATAGGCCGAAAATACACATATTTATATACTATCAGTTGACAGCTATATCTATAGTGTGATTTTCTTTATTGCAATTAGCACTGGTACATCAAACTTGGCTTCCTTAAACTGAAGCAAGGTTATTTTATCTTTCAGAACTCAGGCGAAGGGTAGCCACGTCCACCATCGCTGTAGTTGTTGGAGCGACCGCTGGGGGGCTCTGGTTAGTAGTCTGCGTGGGACTGGCCGTGTACGTGGCCAGACGCCGCAAACGGAAGGAGGAGAAGAAAAAGTTTGCCTTCTACTACAACATGGGGAGGAGGGATCCTGGCAATGGAGACGATAGACTGGAGGAAGACAAGGAGCCGCCGCCGTACTCATCTGTACCAGGTAAGTAGCCAGATGTAACACTAGCTATAGGCCACGGCAAGTTATTTGTCAGGATAGCATGGTATGCAGCACGCACATTAATTTTGGCCTGATGTCTAAATAAAGCAAGACATTTTTCTGCCATCCGTACCAGGTAAGGGGCAAGCGTGGGGCAAAGGATACTTATACATACGCTTTCCTATCTTGATATACGGGAATTATGTCAGGAAAAGTGGTCAAAAGTCATCTACCAGAGTGATAATCCTTGGAAATACACACTGGCAGGGTACTCCAACATACAAAGTGTCCAAAATTAGAACATTTTTTATACGCTAAAAACTCGCATAAACCCTAATATGCCAAGTGAACCCAGACACCTCTTGACATGGAAACATGTATCTTCTTTAGCGAACCAGAAAACAAAACATCGCTGAAAGCCTTTTTCCAAAGAAATAAAAAGACTAAAACCCTTACCTTTCCCCCGAACATTTACTTTCATAGGGCGACGCCTAGCGAAATGAATAAGAGAAGCAGCATAGCTCATCAAGAGTCTTGTCTGCTTGCGGTTAGTAGTAACTAGACTGTAGTTCTCATATAGCTGTACCAGAAATAGTCTGTGTCTTTTTTAATTTACCTTTTTTAATAGACAAATCTACTTGAGTATATGTGGTTATCGCTGCCTGGCAGTAATATACTAGTACAAATGTACCTCGTCAGATACTTAGGACAGATTAACAAAAATTCAAAACAAATGATGAAAACAATATAAGACCATACAAAACGGTATGATCTAATTAATCTGTACCTACTAAGGATACCCCTTTTGTGATATTGTTGTCAAAACATTTAGAATTTTTTTAGTGTTTTTTAAGATTCCAAAATCTTCTGTTTCGTTCTTCTGAGTGTTCCCAACAAATAACGACTGATTGATTGAGAAGGATTTTCCCTTTTTACCTTAATTGTTAAGAGCAGCTGTGTTAGGAGACTCGTGGGGCCCATATTAAGTTAAAGATTACCTTGTTGTACTAACTCATGACGACAGCTGTTGTAAAATCAATAAGGAGCAATATGTACAGTGGTTTTCTAATGGGAAAACACATTCGTCATTGTTTAGGGTCGATAGATCTGTTTGATATATCATGATTTGTTGTAATTGGTTTATACATTTGTCAGTAGTAATTGTCTATAGATGCACTTTGTATGCTTTGATATACTGCAATTGCCTTATATGTTTGTCGTTTCTTTATTGTAAATAGATCGTCTTACAGCGTCTTGGATTGTTGTAATTTGTTTATACGTTTGTCATTGTTAATTGTCAATAGCTCTCTTTTATACATCTTACCTTTAATAGAAGTGCTGCACTCCTCGTTTAACTTACGTGTTTGTCATCTCGTTACGTTCCCTGGAACGAGATGAAATAATCAGAAGACACTGAACACGATAAGACTCCATCTTATGAGCGCGTGTATCACAATTTTAACGCCAAATTCAATTCTGAAACCTGCTTGTTAGTATGGCTCTAGATAGAAGGTCGAAAGATCAGACACGACCCCTTGTAGGTGTTATAGTAATGGTTTATTTCAAATGCAATAATTGCAAATATACAGTTGCCACCTAACAGCCGAAGCTGAAAAATGTAACCTTTACAAAATAACCTAAGTTACATAGGAATTTCCGAAGTTAAGGCATTCAGTCTAAAATGATAGATAGGTGGCAAATGTGATCGAAAACATTACACAGATATTCAATAAAGACAGTGGGCATTGTGTAGTAAACACATTATTGGACTTAAAAAAAGGATATTATTATGTGTTATTGTGGTAAACGGCAGAGGACATAGTTGCTGACTCTATACTTTTTATCCTTCTCAATATCTATGTCCTCAATTCACCTGCCTCCTTTGCAAGCTAAACGCAAATGAATTGCGGCTGTTTCTAATCTTATAATCGCTTTAGATTGTAATCTTGATGGAACTAAACAAGCGTTCAGATTCAATCTACTCTATTCATGATGATTCTACCTCGCCTCGACAGCTTTAGAGAAATCCGATCACGTTTTTCTAAGCAAGGTTTGATACATCGATTATCGTTCTACAAACAAACAGCGAGACGTCAGATATAGTAGAAAGTTTATTGCAAATACATGCCCGAGGGCTAATTGCATTTATATAATAACAACGTAAGAAAGATAATACAGTGGTATGTGAGACTATATCTACGTCCGTAACATTATACTATATTCTACAACATACATGGTACTAGCTATAGTTTTACTGGGTTTGACTTAAAATTTCAAGGCACTCAATGCAATTTCAGGGCGGCAAAACTAAGTATTCTGAATAAGGCAATCTGCATGATACTGACACATACTGTCCCACATTAGCACATTTGAATTAGAATTTCATACTTTGGGCATTTAAAACTGCAAAAACAAGCCCCAAAATTAGTCCTATATTTTCTGGGCGGTACCCTTAAAACCAATCCAGGTCCTTCGAATAGCCGTTTTTCGTCAGAATTTCGGAATTTTTTGCTCCATGAATGTCGATATACATTGAGACAGTGCTGTTTAAACTTAGAATGTAGATAAGTGACTAGTTATGGAATATTGACTTTGAAAAATCTGGTTTCTAATCCCTAAAAACTGTAATGGATGTGTTTAAGAAGCCTTATGTTCTAATTTACAACACAGTCTTGGCAAAACGCCGTGCAGTGAGTTTCGATTAAAGTGTGTTTCCCCTTGGGGTAAGGTGTCGTCTTGGAACGTTGTGTCTGTTGTTTTTCATCCTCTGGAGGCAGCTATATAAGTTATAACGTAATTCACTGCCCCCTCTAGGACGGTTTTAAGTTGCGTTTTTGTCAATATAAGTCTTATTCATATTCTTAAGTCGTTTTAAAAGAAACATTGTACTTAGGGGATTCTGGTTTCTGTGTTTCGTGATGGGAATTCCTAAGATAAAGAGCTAAATTGTTTGGATCACGTCAGTATAATGTACTGCACCTGCGCGAAACCCGTAATGTATGGTGCATAGCACTTCGGCAGAACGTCTCGTTTAAAGTAGTATTCTAGATCTCGTACGTAATTAATGGTAATATTCAGTCCATAGTTTTCAAATTTTTTATCATAAAAGATATCGTCTTCAACAGACAAAAATTCCTGATGTAACGGTGACCAAACGTCTGACAAAAACCATGAAAAATCCGGTTTTCAGGCAGGCGCAGTTCCTTCGACGACGTGCTCTATTTGCATATTTGCATATTTGCGAGATCTCAGGTTTAAGTGACTTCAAATATTCATTTCTATGTAGAAATTTATTCTGGGTACAAATTATGCACATTAACCCGAAAGATTTGATTGATGTCGTAATTCGCTCTTGATTTGAATTACATTGATATAAAAGTATAATTCAGGTTTCATTGAGTAACCCCTGGATTAAAAAAGGAAGTCGTATTTCATATAGATATGGGCGTAATGCCACATGAGTTCTGTTGATATGAAAATGGTTGATACGTTACACATAACAAATGATAGTGGGACCCAAAGCGAAACAATATTAAGGTCGCTGGAGATCTGCCAACTGCTCTTGAGGAAGTATTTTAAAATCAAAGTAAGCAACATTCAACCTTCCATCATCAGACGAACTCTTGAACACGGGTGTCATATAATTGGATATTATATCACGAAGTGTAATTAGTGGGTAATCAACGAGTAGGCTTTTCTTGCAAGCTGTTTAATTCTACCTAATTAAAAAAGACTTGATCGGGCTCCCAGGCACACATTAGCACGTAAACAAGCACATCTGTCGATATACAAAATGTCTGCTGTCATTATTACTTAGTATTTGATGGTATTTCACCCAATGCAATTTTAGTACGAAAAAACAAAAAAAAAGAAATATTTTGGATGAGAAAATCTGTCTAGGATTAACATTTACTGGGATTTCTTAGCACATTTCGTCTGTGTATATGTATATGAGGCGTTGGAAATAGCCCCAAATAAGCTACGTGATTCGTCTATTTATTCTGGGGGTACCGCCTACATATAGCTGCAAGCAGCCTATATATACAATGTATATAGCTATGACATCTACAGTGAAAGAATGACCAGAAGATTTACCTTAAAATTCCACAGTTTTGCTGCCCTGAAATTGCTTCAGATTCCTTTAACAACTGTTGGTTTGACCATTTTGACAATTTACCTGTAGCACAACCCGAATAAGAGTAGTACTAGTGTTTTGTAGTCGACAGTGTCTCCAGCAGCCTCAATTATTAACCAAAAAGGCCAATGACCTGAACCAGACTGTCTGTTACCATGGTTGGGTTACATCATGTTGCAATTTTATAGCAGGAGGGATTTAGACTCCTGTCTGACCATATATACGAATGTGTTTGAGTAAGAATTAACAGAGCAGACCTTATGCGAAGGTGAACATTATGCATTTGCTTTGCAAATGTTACCTTTCTAGTTAAAGTTATGAGTAACGTTAATAACAGCTCAAAATAACCAAACAACCTGCTGGAGAAAATTCAGTCTGCCCGCACCGCGTACCGCCCTATCAGCCCCGATCTGTCACGATTCATATATGACCACAATAAAAGCACATAGACTGAAGTGACCCGCAGGGATCCCCGTAATGTGCTGTTTGCCCCGATACGCTTGCTCCAATACCTCTTCACTAATCCGATAATGTATGTTTAGAAAATTTATCCCTCTAAGATCAGTCGTAGAGGACCATTCTGCGTAGAGACTTCCCGCGGACGCACTTAGATCTACTTGACCTGGATTGATCTGCACTCTAGATGTACTAAGCACGGGCCACCAGGCCGGTATATCGTGCTGGCATGACACGCTGTAACATAATGTAGACCCATATAATGAGACACAGGATCATCAACTGTATAAAATAATTGTTTGAGAGTAAATAGAACACGACAGTGGTCTTTTGGGAACATGCATTATTGACCAGAATGTTGCTTTCAGCGTTTTTTTTTACCTGTCTGCCTTTTGCACCAAATGTATGTAGGCAGGGCGGCATTTGGGTTTGTTAAAGTAATGCTGGCAGTGTGTCGTAAACAATATCGACATTACATTAACAGATGTCATTGGTGTCATTAAAGGTAGAGAACACAATTTCTCCCTACAGACACCGGCGTATTTTCTAAACCCTATACCTAGTAACACCCACCTAACTTCAACTAAATCTGTAAAAAGGTGTTAAGTCCTTGCTATAGCTACATAATCGTATTTCCCTTTTTGTATACAGCCAAACCTACAAGCAAGACGCCAAGCTACGGTGGCATCAACACTATGAGAAAGTCCTTGGGGAAGAAAGGTAATGTAGGACAGTGTCAGTTCTCTTTCATATCATAGATAACAGAAGTTATGCAAGGGAAAGGGGGGCTTATCCATCACTATTTATCAAGGAGGACAGGTAATAGCCTGTGAGCTAAGCCTCGCTGTGTGCGGACCAGGGGAGTCATGAATCACACGGCTGCCGGTGTCACTTTTCAGGACACGGCGTAACTCCGCACCACTAAACCTGCCGTAATCACGGTCGTGCCGTAAGAAATCTCTGCCTTTTATTTCATGTGTTTGCGGTACAGAGAGGAGATACGCACGCGCGATGTACGCCTACCGTCCGCGGGAAGATAACGAACTGCGCCTGGAGACTGATGACGTCATCGAGGTGCTGGAGGGGGAAGATGGCGGCTGGTGCCTGGGTTACCTGAGGGGCAGGATAGGCCTGTTCCCCTCCAACTACGTCAAGTTTATCTCCTCAAGCGAAGGTAAGACTCTTACAGGACGATCAATGGCGTTTTATCTCTTTGTTCTCTCACGCCTGGTTCGAGAAATCCCCGATGAAAACCGACAATGGAAGCATTACCAGGTCGATTATATCAAAGAATGCTGATGGTTCTTGGGAAGCGTTCACATCTATTTGACTTGGCAGTCCAGGAGAAACTTACCGGCGCAGAACCAATCTCTGTAGACAAGGGAAGCTGATACCGTTAATTCCGACTTTCCATTGAAGTCTAGTCCTGTAGAATCGATCGGGATGTCGGTTCGTTACTACCAGGAATAAATGAATACTTCGGCTTGACTTCACTCGGAGGGCTTCCACGTCTAATTACATCTGGTGAATGTCGCTTAACCCTCTACACCCTGGTCTATAAGGTTCACATCGATCGCCACCTTTTGACTTTTCCTATCGCCGTGCCTGTTGCTTATCTATTGATTGTGTGTTGATTAAACTGCCGGGGGATAAGAAGTCAATAAACTTTTTCAACATCTTTTTTCCAGTGTTGGCCATGAAGGCCGGAGGACCTTGCCAAACCCTAGCCCTACAGGAGTCCGTAGGGTCAAAACGGAGCATCTGATAAACATGCTGATTACACGGGAGCGTTTTCTGGATGGGGCACTATCTTCTGACTGGCTGAGTGGGTTTGGTGTACATATTATAACACTGGATCTGGGGCAACGGGATCCCACAGAATCTGCTTGAAGATCTGGAAAATCATCGAGGAAAAACTTGGCGATCATCTCTGCCAGATCTAGCAAGATCCGGAGACTAGGGATGAAGTGTTGATGTTTAGTCATTTTTACGGAACTGACACGAAAGGATGTTTCTTCACGGCACCACCGTAGTATAATCGCCATATCGTACTGAACATTGGCCTTGGAATATATCTAGGATTCATCTTTCATGGCAACGGGATCCTCGACGGAATCCAATACATTTTCGTCTCACTGCATTTGCTACGAAGACTGGTTGTCTCTTGTGTAGATAAAATACACGGACGGACACAGAAGATGAGTTAGCTATCTTATCTAGGAGCGTCAGTAGCCGATGGTAAATGGTACCTGTCCTATGTGAAGCTGTCCATAGAATAGAAAACGCCATCAGATACTTTAATTTCGCCCAGGAATCGATTTTGCACATCCTCGTATTTGGAAACGTCACGAAAAGAAGCCCACAAAGTAGTCGTGTTGACGTATAGAGTAACTATGAAAGTCTTAACTACTAAAATGCTACGTATTTTCTGTATATACTACCTATTTGTACTGTACGGTATCAACGTTTATATCACTGACTGTTGTTATCTTATCATATTGTAGCAGGTAGCGATAAATTTCTGTAATCTGATTTATCTCTGAGGCGATAAGCTTACTTTTCCTGAGCAAGATAAATAGAGCAAGATTTTATCTCCTCTTTGACGAAACGTTTTACTTTGTCCGAAGTTATTTTTTGTTCCGGAAGGACACAGAAAGACAGTGTGTGACACTACACGATTCGTTTCTTCGGAAAAAGACAAACGTGGTTCCTCAGGGCAGCTTCGTCGAACCACTTAAGCATGATACTATTGATCGTTCCGCCATGTGGGAGGGCTCCGGGCGGCCATCCACAGTCATTCCTTTCTGACAAGTTCCTTGTCTTATCGCACGAGCCAAGGTTTTTACCCTGGAGTTGGTTTTTTGGGGTAGTAAGACACAGATATCCGAGAAGCCTTCTATTTGTTCTGCCGCCCTGAAATGCAACCATACGTCTTGTCGATACGGTAATGCCAGTCCTTTGACCTGAGTACAACATCTGATCAGTGTAACATCTGGTAGACTTTACCAGTTGCAGGGTGATCTTTTCGGAGATGAGGAGAGATTTTTGTCCTTTTACAACGTGTTCTGATCTCTACTGGGATTATTTTCCTAGTACATAATGTTTGCCGACGTGAGCAAAATCTGAAGTCGATTCTATCTTTGCATGTACAGCGTCGTAGCAGTTATCACAAGCACACTCACAAGCCAGGACAAGATGTGATAACAAAAGGTCGGGCGACACTCTACAGAATTTACAATACCAGTAGACATTGAGATTGAGGAGGCATAACACAAATCCACAACCGAAGAAATGCTTTAAGACAGCCGTGCCTTTAAGTATTGGTGCTGAGACAAATCAATTTGAACAGACTCAATACAAGATTAACAATTCGGAACAGAATTATGCCGTCGTCCATTCAATCGCTTTGTGGAGACATGTCATCTACGGGTCTATGTTTGGCTGCCTGCCCGCGTCAGGTCGTTTTAGAGGAAAGAATTGGAGTAATGAGTAAGTATTCAGCACGGTCTATTCAGAGCGGTCCCTCCGTAATACCATTATCACAGCCCTGGAGGGCGTGCCTCACCGCACGGTCCTGGATAATGATGTTAGTAGCACAGGTTCTCCGGGTGCACCTCTCCCCTAAAACAGCTGAATAGACCTTCCGTCTGCAGGACCAGCTGCCCATTTCTGATAAAGACAAGTCCCTCGCGAGCGCTTATATCGGAATAAATGTGTAGCATTAGACTGGAGAAATCCTGACCTTATATCTCAATGTTTGAAGATAGGAATGAAAAACTGTAGGGCGTATAAAAACAACTGTAAATCTTAAACAGAAACGTTTTAAAACTTTACTACTATACTTTAGGTTTTTTTGTCTACTTTGTTGTTTGTGAGCCAGATGTACCGGTAGTAAGACTACATAGGTCTGCAGACTGCTTCGGGTGGATGTCCTGTGTCATTTGTTGTGTGCCTCGAGCGAATGTGCTTCGACATGATTGACCACATGAGGCCAAAGGTAAAAGCAGTAAAAGGAAGTCTTACTCTTTAATTTAAGACAGGACATTCAGAGGGGACGCTAATATATTACTCCCTATATATACATAACAGAAAGTACCAAGTTCAAATATTCACATATCAAACACACGGTCTATGGCTGTACATGCAGGCTGGCTATAACTACCTTATGCCGTATGACATTCAACAGGCAAATAGAAGAAAACCTTGCCAGTTATAAGTTCTTCCTTAAACAAGTAATTCTTATAGACACGTTTTATAACGCTGGCGTACATGCATACAACGCTTTAGAGGCTTGATTTTCATACCTATCTAAAGCTGACAATATCCTTAGTTTATTGAAATTGCAACCCAGCAATACAGTAGCAACTCAAGCATCCTAGCGCTGATATTAACGCCGCACATCCCATAAAATACACCTGCATATCTCGCTATAGGATATGATATACGACAGATTTATCGATATACCCCTACAACCCTGTCTGGAAGAGTAATTGTGTGGAATATGCTGTGAACATGGATCCCCATCATGCTTTTAGCTGGGGGAGGGGGGAATGGATGTTTTTGGACTCCCTATACTGAAAATAACTGGACTCCCTACTTTTTGGTAAGAAAGCCTAAACACACCCTATTTTTCCACTCCCAACCCCCGCCATGCACACATGCCTCCCTTTAGCCTTCTTATAAATGCAAAAATGATGCTTTAACGTAGGAAAAAAACTTGGCTGCGGCCTGTATTCCTTAAAATTTGCACCTCAAAATGCAGTAGTGTTTGAGAGCATTACTAATTTCAAAAAAGCCCCCGGCCCCATGCACACATGCCTCCCTGTAACCTTACTATAAATTAAAAAATGATATCGTAACGAAGAAAAAAAAACTTAGCTGCGGCCTGTATTCCTTAAAATTTGCGCCTCAAAATGCAGTAGTGTTTGAGAGCGTTACGAATTTCAAAAAAGCCCCCGGCCCCATGCACACATGCCTCCCTGTAGCCTTACTATAAATTAAAAAATGATATCGTAACGAAGAAAAAAAACTTGTCTGCAGCCTGTATTCCTCAAAATTTGCACCTCCTTGAGAGCATTATTTAAAAAAACTCTAAAAAGCTTGTGCCTGTGCCACTTGCCACTGCGCATAGCATACAATAAAGATAATGGACATCCAACAAAAAAATCCTAGCTAAAAGCCTGATCCCCCATGACTGATCAAGGTTAGATATGGACGACGTCGTTTGCTAAACCTGGATGTGACTCCCGCCTAACCAGACTGTTTACTTCTTGTTAAGCACGACTCCTGTCATGGTTTAATCACCCTAGAGACCCTACACCTATTGGATGGGGCGAGAGGAATACGTTAGCATCGTTAGTGCTGCCTCCTATCGTTACACCTTTATTGGGAACTGGGGATTCGACAAGGAATATTCTCTATATTGATGCAACATGGCCTCCCACCCGGCTGGTGCCCTGTGAATGTCAGGTCAGATCGTTACTAGCCTGGTGCTCAGTCTAGTCGTGGTTGGGGCGGGTTCTCTTCGGGGCTGCAGAAGCTCTTCCCCGCCCAACTCAGCTAGGTCCCCCGGTAGGTTTTGCACGATGGAAGTTTATATTTTAATTCGTGGTGGGGCTAATCAAATCCTGGCGTGCAAAACACCTACAGGCGTAACACTCCTACCGGCCAATCTGTTGAGCTGGACGGGGGAAAACTGTTAGAGCCCCGAGGACAGTCTGCCCCAACCACGATAGACTGGATACCAGGTTAAACTCCTACAGGTGTAACACTCCTACCGGGCCGTCTGTTGAGTTGGGCGGGGGAAACTATTAGAGCCCCGAAGACAGCCTGCCCCAACCACGATTGACTGGATGCCAGGCTAGACCGATCATTATAGTCTTACACTGAATGGCTGACTTTTGACAGCAGACGCGTAGACCTGATTTAAATCCAATCAGAGTGATCGGCATCGGGAATGCCTGCCTGTCACATCGCTCACAATAGGGGCTTAGAAAGAAGCTACATATGTTCTGTACAACCACGAAGCGCAGATAAAGATATTATCGGCTTTTCCATTCCATAGATGTAAGCCCTGTCTCGCTATATCTCCCTTAGCCTAACAAAGGAGGACATTTGCTGGGTATTGTGTACATGAGTACAAATGGCGCTCTTGTAATGATGCCCTAAACCGTTTTGTCAGACAATGGCGTTCTCTTGTCTTTCGCAGAAGACTAGTACTTCGTATATTTCATTGTTCCGTCTTGTATGCAGTTAAGTACAGGGTCTTACCTTATCTGTATCTCTGTAAGGAGTAGTTTCGGAGGCTTTGAGGCGCCTTTGTAATTAGTAAAAGTGCTGCTATAAGACTTTAAGAAGGGCCTCGAGCTTGAGGAATCCACCATCTGAGTAAAACCACTTCGCACTTAATCTTCTCCTTCGCCTCTGGTAGTGCTTCGGCAGAACTTAACGACTTGCCGGCATGTTGAACAGATGAACGACTTTTACGGCGGCATCAAGGACAGATGTTTAAAAGGACATCAAGTTTCACGCCATGCCTGGTACAATCGCCGCCTTGGGACTGACGGTTTTCATTACGATAGAGCTTTTATATTTCCAGCGAGAGCCAGGGAGAGGTTTTTAATTTCCTTCGCCGATTCAAAGTTATCACAGATTTGTATGTAACTATATAAACGTGACCTTTACCTGCTCGACCTTGTTTCATTTTTACAACACGCGCTCGAACATATACATCACTACTTTTACATCAGTGCAACATACGCTAACCAAGTAATGGGATGGCTAAGCACACACTAATGGCAGATGGGAAAACCGGAGGGACGGAAGGGTGGTGAGTTATCAATTTAGACCAAGAATAGCATGCTTATCTCAACACATGATGGCCCCTAATGATCGCCCTATGGGTATAAAATCTACTAATCGATTGACAAACTAGAGAAAAGGGCTGCAGATGGAGTAATTTCGGGCTTGCAAATCTAAGCTGTTATGTCACTGTGAGAACATGGCTTGCCAGAACGTTCGCTTTCTATTTTTTTTTATTTCCAACATGCAAAAATACAATACATAGTGGTGACGCACTCAAGCAAATGCTTATATTCACGTCACCACTAGACATAAAATAAAAGTTACATCACAAACCATGGGTATCGTCCAGGTAACAAGAGAACAGAGTTTAGCTATTAAGATATTATAAATGAATACAGAAGTATAAATCAGTTGTTAAATCGCTTAGACTCAGAAAGATATAGCTGTGTAATAATGAGTATTTGAGAGTTGACTTAAGATGAAAGTAAAGGTGGTCAATTAATTTTCTATTTGAAGAAGAGGAGATCATGGTACAGGTAATTGATGATAAAAGGCAAATGAAGAATACCCCACTTACGAAGTTTGAAAAGGAAGATATCTTCTGCAGCGTAATAATTTGAAGGGAAACAGAATCAAACCATTGAAACCAGAAAATCCCTAAAATCTCCTGATTGATGAAGTAGGAAAAAGTCGAGGCGCCACCCGATTAGGGTACGAGAGATCCCATTAAAAACCCTCTCAAGTCCGGACGTGAACAAGTCAGTTATGAATAACCCAGTGCACGCGGACTAGCCGAGCCCCGTATGATTGGACTGATGGATAGACTTTGCTTGGATTCTGGGGACCTCGGGAGATTGGACAACAAATCAGCCGTGGCCATTAACGGTCTGTGGCATTTTCACGGCGAGCGAGTGCAAATAGTCCGGACATAAATGTCACCCGGGAAAGGTCTCCTCCGATTCCGGCCGCCTCCTACACACAGCCCGGCCCTGATGTAAACAGGGTTACACACCGATAGACTTGGCAATTCTTCCTGGAAAGTTCATTGAAAGGCTGAGGTCTTCCGGGAATACGGTTCTCCGGCTTGTCCTCGGTTATAGCTTACCTAGATCATGTTTTACACTAAAGGTTGTGACCTGGGGGCAGCATTGCCGATATTAGTCACAGGGGGTCTCTTGCGTGATGAGAAGAAGCGCAATTCATCCGCACGCCGAACTTCCAATCGCTGTACGTAGAAACGGCGGAGATACAAAACGTGCCCGCAGGCGGTTGTAAGGTCTGGCTCCTCATAATCTTAAAGAGGCAACATGCCCCGCGCGGGCGCTGACCTCACCTTCACCTGCATGTAGGCATTTAACGGACTATTTTCATCATTTTATAGACAGGAACGTCGGATAACGTTACACGGAGGTCTAACTGGCCGTAAACGGGAAACCCATTCCTGCCTTCTGGTAGACAAAGGGGAGCACAGAAAGGCATTATAGTTCATAGTATTAAGAGAGGCATGGCTGGCATTACCGCTTTGAAATGGCTTTAAGAGCATTTCACGATTGCCGATTTACAACTACGTCCCCTTGGCACATATGTACAAACGTAGCCTCAAACGGTACGAAAAACTGTACATCTATCTTAAGATCCGTTGAGACCTAAGAAACGAAATAAGCGCTGTAGGCTAAAGTATTTTTGCCGATTCGTATTTCTCAGTGGATCTGATATGATGAAATAATGGTAGTGTTTCGTATAGTTCAACGTACGCTTGTATCATCATTATCTGCACCAATATGTGTGTTGTGGCAATTACATTGTCATTGATGTATAGAAGATAAAGAGTCCACAGTGGACACTAGCTGTAGTAACACACCGACTGTTGGAGCTGTGAGGCTGCAAAGTTGACGCTATGGACCGTACCATCCCATCTAACTCCGCGGGGAGGTCGCCTAACGAAGCCTGACAAAAACGAACGGCCAGAGTGCACCCAAAATGAATACCTGTATCGATTACGGTGCAACTGGGGATAATACGTCAACATTACAGCGATTCAAGAGCGGTCTTTCGAATTAACGCGATTGAGGCGCACTCGATAAAAGTACAATGGGTCCCTCTCACCCTGCGTCGCCCAATCGGTGGGTCCGGGTGCGATGATAAATTCGGTGCGTGCTCGTGGTTTCGCGCACACCGTCCAGTAATTTAGACCCGCTAACACCCCGCGAAATCCACCTGCGGCCGCACGGGTCCCGGGATTACCGTCACTTCATCCGCCGAGGATTAAGAACACTTTAACTCCGCGACTCTTCTGTCCCGAAGACTTAGCGGTAAAGAGCGATTGTAAAATCCGCGGCTTTGGCAGCCAGATGTGCTCTCTGCTGTGGCTCCCGATACAGGAGGAACTAAGCTCGCCTTCAGCACAGCCACCGCTCCTTGTGTCACAACACGCGACCAGCGGGCAAAACTAACCCTCCAAACGTGATAATGGGCCATTTCTTCCACACCTGGCAGTTGTAGCCCGGCTGGGATAGGAAACGGCGGGAGCGGCCGTACATCTGCACCACGCTGAGAGAGACCGGGCCACTGCCGGGTGATCGGGGGGATCTAATTGGTACGGCTCCCTGTATCGTCTGTCCTTATCTTAGTGATTGCTTCCGCGGGGAAAACAATTTCGGCCTGATGACGAGTACTTGACTGAAGCCTGCTGCTGGGAGAGGCGATTTGGGGAGAGAAAGTTGTCGGTCACACGTCGTACAGTACGATGGAGACGAGAGCGACCTCGCCATGTGTGGGCCGTGCGTACGGGAGATGAGGAGACACCATTCCGTCGGCTTCGGTGAGCATCTTACGGTAATCATCGGCATCGACAAAGCGCTCTCTACTCCCTGATTGACCCGCAAATAGACACATCAAGGGGAAAATGAGTTCAGGCTTCGACAAGATGTTCCGCACCCTGCGCCTGAGTGTGGTGTTTGCCATCGCCTCCCTATCAGGTAAGATTGCATGCGTCTGCCTTTGACAAAAAGAATCGATCCTTTTATCAAAACGTGTATATCGTGATACTAAGTAGTTCAGATATAAAAGCAGCGTTCAGTACCAATATGTTGTCTTTACAAATCACGTCGTTCCATACAATAAACAATTTAAATTTCTCAATCTGACCTTCTAAAATATTTAGACCGCTGTTTTGATTCATTAGGCGGACACAAGAAAGAGTAGATATTTTCATCAATGTGGTTGTCTGATCGCATAAGAAGTACATGTAACATGACAGAAGCCAGAGATATTAAAACTTCCCCCCATATGTTTTCACTTCGGATCTCATTCTTCCCGGTGAATGAACAATCGATCGATGGGACTCTGATTTTCGAAGTGACCCTAGGTCGTGAAATTTTTATCACATTCTTAAATAACACAGTTATTATTGAACATATCCTGGAAGCTGTCAGGAATAATTTATAGAACCATCATCCACTCTTATTGGATCGTTAGATTGCTGCTCACGCTCTGGAGTCGACGCTGCTTCATACATCACGATCTCTCTCCAAATGTGTCTCCTCTCCCTGAATGCCGAGATACGACAGATATTCACAGGGCGGGGAGGAAGTGGATATTAGGCCACACCAATTTAATTTGTTGTTTCTCGGATTTTTTCAGAAAGATATGAAGCGACAGGGCGAAAAAATAAACAGGCCAAGGCACCCCATGAGAGCCGGAAAGGTTACAATATGAGCCATAAAATGAACATACCAGGCTGGTTTATAATTAAAACAATAGATTTTGAACTTTTAATGAAACAAGATTGCAAGGTTACATTGAAAAATTTGAACAGCTAGGATGAAAATGACTTCCTTCAACCGCTGGGGCCAAAATATGTCTTTCATTGAGCATTTTCTAGTTCATTTAGAACCAAAAAAATTTTTTTTGCAAGGCAGAAAAAAATGGACAGGGAGAATGCGAGAAACAACAAATTAAATTGGTGTGGCCTTATTGACTGTTTGTAGATCCTCAAACGGAGAGTGACGGTGCAGCTAGGCCGGTTCCCGTACAGACAAAGAGCGTGGGCTTACATAGATTATAGTCTTCAAAGCCCCGAAGTCGTGAGCGATGGGTCGGAAGCGGGTGGGTGTGGTCGCGTGACTTGACTCGCGCAGTCCCGGACTTTACCCGGATTTGGCGCTGCTTATTTCTACCATCGGAAATAATTCGAGTCTAGTGGGTCAATTAATCTTTAACGTGTGGGACTGGTTGTATAAAGCCATCCGCACATCCGAGTTCTAGGTCTTCTATTGATCTTAAATGTGGAAACAAAACAGTAGGGACATTTTGTCTTATGATTTTTTATCTCTCACGTTTTCGGCGGGTTTTTTAATCTTCTTGTAAAAAATTCTAAATCATGTTAGGTTTATGAAAAACAGAAGGAAAATTAATCTTTTCCTTCTTTACTCATTATGCATTTTTCTTTCTAGCTCGACGTTTTTTTCTTCTAGATTTAAAAAATCCAAATCATATTCGGTTCATTATTGTCCGAATATTCCCCTGCAAAGTCCATCTCTCTTTGATCCTAACTTCCGAATAATTTGCAACGTATTCATATTTTATCATTATCATCTGGTCGTGAGAGTTTCACGGATGTTCATGATTCCTATTTACAGATTCCCCTTACAAAGATGACTCCATACGGAGACATAAGGGTCCATTGGCGTGATGACAAAAGCCTTTAATAAAACGTCTGTCTCGTTAATGTAACTGATACCGCGGTCAGTCCTGTCAGTCACCTTGTACAAAGGAGAGCTATGGGGGTCATTTGACCAGCCGATCCCATCTCTGTAATTGTTCTTGATTAGCCATCCTCTTATCATTCCATTTCATGCTTTTTATTCACTCAGTAGTAGGCATTTCGTCGGACCACGAAGATATAGCCTCCATAGCATGCCAAAAACTGTTTCATTGTTTTAGGGTCTTTGGGATCTTTTATGTGCTATTTTCTGATTACATATAGACAACATAGCCGGCCTGGTGGAATAATCCCCGTTTTTAGCACTGGACTAATCAGAAAACAGCCGAAGACCACCAAACCCCCAGTTCTATAACTTAGTATAAGCCTGCTACGGAGGCTAACGAAGATACTTCTTCTACAACATGTACTTATTCTTTGTTTTTCGCTTAAAGCATCTGAGTTCTGGTGCAAGTCTCTGTTTTTCTTCCCCCCGGTGTTAGTCCTTCTTTACTGCTCGTCTCCAAAGCGTTCAGCATTTGAAGACAAAACTACATGAATGTTTTCACTCGTCTTTTTCTACGTCTTACTGTAATTCCTGATTTTTATCACGGTATTTCTGATTATGTCAACTGTTTTCATATTCACTTCCGTAAACTTATCATAATTCAAATCAAATCAGCTCTCCATGCACTTGGTGCGACCGTGAAGATTAAGTTCAGAGAACATGTCCATTTTCCTAAAACCGTTGATTTTGCTATCGTGAAGACAAGGTGAACTACAGTCTTGTTTAGTTCTCTGCATCATTTTAACTACTCTATATTCGTAATGCATAGTAAAGTTATATAAGATGCACCCAAAGCCGTTTTACTTCAACACAGCACTTTGGGTACATGCAGCGCACATGAGGGTTGGTCTCTAGAGGTTACAGATCTTTTATGCAACCCAAATCACTTTCGTGTAAGGTTTGAGACGAAAAAGAAGCATTTTCGGGGATCGATACGGATTGCGACATAAAGTGCATACACGGGTGCACCGGAGAAACTCGACTCCCACAAGCACAGGTCGGCTCTCATGACCCTAAAAGCATTCAATGCAATAGGACTTGGAAAGCCAATATTCTAGTCATCCATCTACATAGTGAGTTGAAACCACACTGTCCGTCATGGAGCAAAAATCCCCCAAATTCTGACGGAAAATGGTTACTGGAAGGGCCCTTGGCTGATTTTTAAGGGTACCACCCAAAAAATAAAGGACTCATATTGGGGCTTGTTTCCGCTGTTGTAAACGCCCAAAGTATGAAACGCTGACTCAAATGTGCTAATGATGTGAAGCAGTATGTGTCAATATCACAAAGTTTGCCTTGTTCAAAATATTTCCAATTTTACTGCCCTGAAATCGCATTGGATGCCTTTAAAGCCTTCATGTTCGCCTCTGTTGAAGTGGTGCTGTACTCACCACTTATACTTTTGTTTTAAAACCACATGCATGTTTGGAGGCGATCCCCGATAATTAGAGCACTGTCAGGACATATCTGGCGGCGAGCTCGCTACACACCGCAGGCACCCTTCTGGGCTAATCAAAAACTCCACAAATTCAATATCAGAACAGCATACATCCCTTACAGAATATGGTTCTGCTGTCAACATTTCCCCACGACACACCGTTCTGTTTATTCAGCATTTGGAATTCCGAACAGTTTTCATACAAATAATTGCCTCCTGCTTTCAGTATCATTTTGCTGAGTAGACAGTGTACATTGCATTAAACCGTGTCCATGAAAAATCTATTTGATCATTTGTTCGCCTCGCATCTCGTTATATTACCCCTCACCATAAAGGGAAAAGTGATATTGATGACTCGAGCCCTAAACTTTGTGTTCGAAGCCTGCATTTAGACACGCCTGTATTTGGAGCACAGCGTCCTGTATTGGATATTCTTGTATATATAAACATCCATGACATTTTATTACCTGCTCATGCCTATCTGATACATTTGTAAGGTCTGACAATGTATGACTGATGTATTATAGCTCTGAGGCAGAGAAAATGTTACAGGGTTATCTACAGCGAAACTCTATGATCTACCAAGCTTGACTTGATGACACTGTGCACAGATGTATGGTCATTTACATTCTAATGTATGGATTTGTGATCACACAAAAGACAAAGAGTGGAAACTATTCTGCAATGATTGATGAAGGCAACTTTTGGTAGTCGTATTTGCTCATCTGTATTCAAAGCGAGTATGCCTGTGAAGAAAATGATCCATCGGTTGAGTCACATGACAAGTTTGATATTTATGGCCGGTCGCCATTAAAAACCTTGTGGCATCTATGTTCCATATCGTTAGCTCTTCCAAAATCTGCTGGTATCGCATTTTCATTTGGCTCTCGTGTTAACGACTGTTGTTCTAAATAATTCATTGTGTACTTTTAATGGGTGATGATGTAAACTCGTGAAATACAACCCCGGAACGGCCGTGAGTACCATATGGTTTGGGTTGGATTGGAGCCCCCGGAAATGAAAAGGAAATATTGATGTGGCTCTTCAGTGTAGAAACAGGCAGAATGTAGAATTCTAAGCATGAATAAACTCGTATTGACATGAAAGTTCATCTGAGTTGAGTGCTGTAGACACGTGATTCTAACGCACGTGTGACGTCAGCACTGGGTCAAAGTTCGTCGGAAGTCGGCACCGTCCCCAGTCCCGGTTGAGAGAAGATCCTCGTGCTGTAAGGTCGAACATTCCAGTGAGTCAATTCCTTTTTTAATTGTAGAACAGTTTAAATTTCATACGAATAAACGTTTCAGTTACATAAAGGAAAAGCATATAAGTGCCCCTCAAAGCAGTATTGGTAAATGAAGGAAGTCACGAAATTCTTGGAACACTCGTTAATTAACGTATGCATGACAAGCCAGCAGCTGGTTTTTCTTAATGGTTCTACTGAAGATGTTTATGTCCTCCCCGACCATTTCCCCCGAGGCACCTGTTAACGCTGTACCACACGGTTAGAGATGTTAGGAGATTAGAACTGAAGTACATCACCGTACTCGACTCTACCATTCGCGAGAAGAGTGTCATAACGCGCTGCTATCACAACCACGCGATAATTCGCGTGACAACTGCTCATAATTTCCCGCGCCGCCAGAAGATCTCTCCACGAGCGTAATCCGAGAGTAAAGTAAAAGTTGATTATCATCGAGTCACGATACGTGGAACCTACCTACAACTTCTGGTTTCTAGATCTAATGGAGAACAACTCGCATGACAGACG